AAGTTGGGATAAATCAAGCTGTGCTTCAATAATAATGCCTCCTAAACTACAATGACTTAAAACAGCAACAGCTAATTTCTTATTCCTGTCATCTGTTCGTCCCATGTCAGAAAAAGGCTATGATGTTAATATTATCAACTGGACAGGATCTAGAATCACCTAGGAGCTAAGCCTCTGGGCTTGCCTAGGAAGGGCTATCTTGCTTAGGTTAACTGAGGTAGGAAAGTCTACCTACGTGAGCACACATTTCATGGGCTGGGGTCTTGGATGGAATGAAAAAGCAAAAGACAAACTGAATACCAGTGCTCATTACACCGTGCTTCCTGACCGTAGATGCAATGTGACTGGCTCACTCAAGCTCCTGCCACCTTGACTGCCCTGTCATGAAGGACTGAATCCTGGAACCGTGAGCCAGAATAAACCCCTCATTTCTTCAGTTGCTTTTGTCAGGGTATTTTATCACACCAACCGGAAATGGGAAATAAAACTAATAAAAAGAAGAGCCTTGCTTATTATGGTTCTTTTTAAAATATTTTATTATTTTTATTTTATGTGTATGAATGTATTGCCTGCATGTGTGTAAGTGTACTCATGTGACACAATGCCCAGGGAAGTCAGAAGAGGGTGTTGGATCCCCTGGAACAGGAGTTACAGATGGTTGTTAGCCATCACGTGGGTGCTGGGAATCCATCCCAGGTCCTCTGCGAGAATAGTCAGTGCTCTAAACCACTGAGCCATCTCTCCAGCCCCTTATTATGGTTCTTCAGGGACTCAGGTTGGTGGACCAGAAAATATTTTGAACATTTGTAGTTGCTACCTCTTTCTCTGCCTCCTTTTCTTACTCTTCTTTTTTTCAGCTACAGCTTTGTGAAATATAATTTTAATTTTTGTTTTGTTTCTATTACAAAGAAAGTGAGTTCTGATAAATTATGAGAAGTTTAGCCCTGACCAGCCTGGAACTCACTATGTAGACCAGGCTGACTTCAAACTCAGAGATTCTTCTGTCTCTGATTCCCAAGTACTGGTATTAAAGGTGTGTGCCACCATGTTTGGCATTTATGAATATCCCACGTGGGCACATGTGGTCTGGAAGCACATGTGGATCAGAGGACAACTTATAGGAGTCAGTTCTCCACCATCTTGGTCTTGGGGATCAAACTCAGGTCATCAGGCCTGGCAGCAAGTACATTGACCTATTGAACCACCTTGCTGGCCCAGAAAGTGAGTTTGGGAGGGTCTTCCTCCAGCATTTAGATGTCTTAGCCCAAAAGTGACACTTGTTCATTTCAGCTCACAACTCATTAGCCAGAGCTAGTCACATGGCTTGGCTGCAGCCAACCACAGTGGTATTCCAAAGTTCATTCATGATGCTTCATGACTTCATGTGCTTAGAAAATATTCAGATGGAAAAATGTGTTGAATAGCATTAATGAGGGTCACACAGGAGCACAGTAGATGACATGTCTCAAAACTATTCATAGATACTTTCCTTACTGGGGCATTGGGATTATGTGGGTGCATAAGGAGTCCCCCTGGGAAACCCTAGATTCCAGCTGGGGGAAATAAATTCGATGGAGGCCATCTTCACATTGTTAGAAATCAAATATGGGGGCTGGAGATATGGCTCAGCAGTTAAGAGCACTGGTTGTTCTTGCAGAAGACCCGGGTTCAAATCCCAGTACCCACATGGCAGCTAACAACTGTCCATAACTCCAGTTCCAAAGAATCCAACAGCCTCTTCTGACCTCCACGGGCATTGCATGACATGGGTGCACTTACCTACATGCAGGCATAACACTCATACACATAAAAAATAAAATAAAATTTAAAAAAATATTAAAAAAAGAAATCAAATCTGAGGTCCAAGGACCCCACTGATACAACACACACACACACACACACACACAATGGACAAAGTGAAAATAACTCAGCAAGATAGCATTTACTTTTGCAAAACGGTGTATTGTATAATTTGGATCCAGCAAACACACCTGGCCCAGAAGTTTAGTAGGTTATTATACCTAGTACAAGAATGCTATGTGTCTTTTCCCCAGTTGTCTGGGTCTGAATTCACAGTCTTTCGATATTGTTAGTTTTAAAGAATCAGAACAAAGAAAATGAACAAGAAGGGGAAAGGGGCTGGAGAAAGGGAAAGGGCTCAGACCATCAGGTTCTAGGAATGCGACAGAGCTTTTGCATAAACAAAAGTTTTATAGCATGTGTGTGGAGGGTATTAAAAGATTTGAATTCCTTATCCTAAACAAAAGTTTTACAGTGTTTGACAGAAAAGGTTGATATTTAATGTTCTTATAACTTCAACCTGGGGTTTTTCATCCGCCTCCTTTGGTTGTGGTCACTCGGTGATCAGTTATCTTTGTGTTACCCTCCTCGAACCTTTTCCTCTCTCCTGTTTGCAAGATTTTTGCAAGAAAACATCTTACAGAAAGCAAGCTGTTTGGCCTATATCATCCTTTTTTGTCTAGCAGATGCCACAGGGAGCTTTGGGTCCTAGCAGGTAGATCCCTGAAGGATTCTGATCTGGTTATCAGGAGCCTATGGCGCTTTGAAGATGGCTTACATGGAAGAGGTTTGGTCTCTTACAAAATGGATCATGAGCCCATTGAGGATGGATGCAGTGTTGGCTTCCTCCCTGCTGAGTTCTAAAGTGCCTTGAGGCCAATTTATTGTATATCTGTAAATCCCAACAACGAGGAATTCTTAAAACAAGAACACAAATGATCAGAAAATAAAATTTTTCATGTGTTCTCTCATTCAGAGTAAAAAGTACCCTTCCTTCCACCTCTATTTTCTCATCTTACAAAAGGGGACTGGAAAAAATGATTCTGAAAAATAATTACTGCTTTGCTTTTGTGACTGGAAAGGATGGTGCTTATTTGAAAATCTCCAAGATTCTAAGACTTTCACTTCAGTTGTTCATTTTGCTGCTGCTGCTGCTGCTGCTGCTGCTGCTGCTGCTGCTGCTGCTGCTGCTGCTGTTGTTGTTGTTAGAATACAATAAGGATGGGGGGAGGACTAGGAAATGGATTGAGAAAAGCAGCCTGGAGATGCAGCTCAGTCCTGGGACAGAGGAACCTTCAGACCCAGACCTAACCAATACACACCTCCAGCAGAGGGTATTCCCTTTGGGAGCCACAGCTTCCTTTTACATTATATAAACAAACTCAGGGGGTTAAAGCCTGTAATCAGAGCTCCTTTGTTTAGTGATATTTCTGTTCAGAGAGCTTATCCTTCCACCTCCAAGATGTCATTTGCTCTCATACTTAGTGGGTAGAGTAAGTTAGGCTCTGCCTGTTGCCCTTGTACATGCAACAAGGGTCCAGAGATATATACTCAACTGTGGGTGGCTGAGGCTATATATCAACCAGACTATGAATCCACCTCTTTGATTAATGATTATCAGATGGCCCCTATAATTTTAGCTAACAATGTAGAAAGCTCTAGAAGTATCTTTCTTTCTTAAAAATTTCAAACATTAGAGACTGAGGAGATAGCGCAATTGGCAGAGTGCTTACCGTAAGGAGCTGAGTTTGACCTCCAAAGGCCACATGTAAAAAGCCAAGTGTGGTGGCCTACTCATAATCACAGCACGGGGGGATGGAAAGAGGAGGATCTCTGGGACTCTGGCTGGCTAGCCTAGTCTAATAGGTGACTTCTAGGTCCCAGCGATAGACTTTATCTAAAAAAACAAGTAGTTGACTTCTACTTATTCTACACACACACACACACACACACACACACACACACACACACACACCACACACACACACACACACACACACACACACACACACACACACAGAGAGAGAGATGGATATTAGCTAAGTATGCACAGCCATCTCTGCATCATCAATCCAGAGGAGCCAGGGAAGAGGGTGTCATGGAGCAGGAATGTGGCGTCCCTGCTTTCCCATCTTTCCCTCCTTCCTCTGCCAATGCCACCTTGCTTTTCTGCCTTAGAGTCACACATTTGTGCTGACAGCTCTGGTCTCTGTGGGTGCTTGTAGTGACACCAGGCCTGGTGATTCTACATGGGTATGAATCATTTTTCTTTCTGAATTAGTCTAATCTGAAAGAAACCTTTGCTCCTTGACACGGCGTGAACAACAGCATTGGGAATCCTTTTAAATCCAAGAGAAAGTCACCGAAATCATCTTTTCAAAGATAGTTCTCTTGAGATGCCCTAGGAACCTGAAAAAAAGATTCGTGCTTGGCATGCAGTCCTTCTTTGGCACCATGCATCTTGGGCTCTTGGGTGAGGTCTGTTTGGGTATCATTTTCCAGCTGCAGGTAGCCAAGTTTGTCTGGTTTTTCTGGGTTGTAAGGCTCATAGGTGTTACAAAGATTTTTTAAAAAATACATGACCATCTTCCACAACATTGCTTAAACATCCTCTCATCGAAGACTAATTTTCATAGCCCCACCCTGTGGATTAACCACAGCACTTGCATACTTATACTTATTTACTTTGTTGTTTGCATTGTTTCTAGAAGGTTCTGTGGTGGTTGGAAGAGCTCTCTGGCCCAGTGGGGCCTGTGTTGCCTATTTTTCATCTCTAGTGTCCCCCATCATACCTACACCCTAAGATTATGTCTCACTGTGGATGCTCTCTTTCACAGGGACAGACCATCTACAGATACGTGTTACCCCAACCCCAGAGTCATTTCCTCATGGGAAGTTGTTACCAATTTCACCAACATGGCCTTTCTTGGAAGTCAAGTCTTCCTCAGCAGCAGACAGAATCAAGAATGTGCTGGGACAGTCCCCTGACAACACGAGCTTGCTGCAGTTAGTCCAGACATCTCCACCCAAGGCACACCGGAGGACCAAGGCCCATGTGGACTTCTCCTCTTCCCTTTACCAAGGGAGTGGACACAGCGCCTCCCTGGACCCTTCCAAGGACTCCTCTGAGACTCTGGTCCAAATAAGGCCTCAAGGGGGAAGAGAAGCAGCAGACATGTCAGGTTTGCCTCGTACCAGCATGCTTCCTCCATCACCCACAATCCCATTGGTGACCTTGAGCACTCTCTCCCCATCACAGCCACTTGTAGGGACTCTCCCACTTTCTGAGCATCCCTGGGGGTCAGATGGCCTTCCACTTTTCCTTCCACCTTCATCCTCTTCATCAGCCCCTGATTCACCTCATCCCATCACCCCTTCTAAGCCTATAGAACGACCCACCAAAGTGCCTTTGTTTCCCCAAATCACACCAGCTGATTCCTCTTCAGGTCAGAGCCTAGCTAATGTCCTAAACCCATATTCTAACAGAATGAACCACTTTCCATCCAGAAATATCCAGGTTTTCATCGGCACCCCTCTAGATTTTTCCAGAACCTCAACAAAGCAACACTCTGAGCTATCCCCAACAAAGGGTCCTCATGCAGCAGGCTCCCCTACACCTGGGGTTTTGAGCTCCATGGTAGAACTGGCCAATCTGTCTCCTACTTCCCTGGCCCCTGGAGGTCTTCTCCAGCTTCCAAGTGTAACCAGGTCCATGTTGGAGGCAGCTTCAAGTCCCACATCCACCCAGCTGATCCATACTGCAGTAGCAGACAGAGGGAACAGTGGGGTGTCATTGCCAACTTCTCAGAGCACAGCAACAGCGAGCCATGTGGCTTGGCCTTCATTCTTCCAGACTGCAGATTTAGGGGCTGTAGCGATGGCCAACAGAAAGCTAGCCCTTGGTACTCCTGCAGATAGCTCTGCTAACTGGCCACATTTGTCAGCAGCCTCAGAGAACTCCAAAGGGCCCACCCTCTCCCCAGAACATGTCCCTTCCTCTTTGGTGCCTCCTCCTCTGCCTCTTACTACGCTAGGTCAAGGGCAAGTGGCCCCTTCTGGGGAAGCTCCTGCATCACCAGTGATGGGGACAGTTGACCTCTCCCCACTGCTTACTATCCTCCAGCCCTCAGAGGATCATGCCTCTCTATCCCCTGTGCCAGAGACGCCCATTTCCCAGGAAGATGGCCATGAGGGGTCCACTCCTGCAGCCACACACTTCCTCCCCAGCAAATTTCCTAGTCTTTTTACAACTTGGACAATTCCCCTGCAAAAAGAGAACAGGGTGACAGCCATTTTCACAAAAAATAGAAAGACAAATGCAACAGTTCCTCTGCAGGCCCTTCCAACTAAAGAAGTTTCAAGTGTTCACACTGTAAATGGCTTCCCCTCTGAGTTTAGCACTGGTCCTATTTCACCTCCCATCATGACAACACTAAGAGCAGACCTCCCTCCTTCAGGGTCGCCTCTGTCATCTGTGCTCACCATGCAAGCCACTCAGGCTGGTTCCTCTTCTCCCGGCTCTTCCAGCACCAGGCTGGACAGTTACACAGCTGCTGCGGGGCTGTTGGAGTTGCCAGCTTCAGCTTCCAAACAGGTGACAGCGCTTTCCTCTTCCACTGAAGTCTATGATTCCCCAACAATAGGAGGCATGGAAAAGCCGGCCACCACAGCTGTTTTCTGGAACTCTCTTTCAGCAGAAACTGGATCCCTCTCCACACAATTGACAATATCTGGCTCACAGCAGCAAGCACATTATGATTTAAACACTCACACAATTAACTCAGCAAGTTGGGAGCCCCATTCAGCCACTCTTCCCAGCGTGGTAATATCAGCTGCCAATGCAATAAAATCTCAGACTTTCAAAGAAACTACTGGACAGTCAGTAGCCACAGAAGACTTTAACATTCAGGATCTAGTCCTCAGTCAAAGTGCCAACCAGACTGTCCAGCAGTCAGATGAGCCTGTGGTTGGAACCTATACAGACATCTTGCCCACAACCAAGCATTCCAGAGATACTGAGACAGCAGTGGTTGAATATTACCCACCCATAAGGCAGCATTCTATTTCAGAGCCCCACCTTCAGCTACCTATCCAAGCAGCCCACCTTCTGTGGCCAACGTGGCCAAGTCTAACTTCTACAGCTAGGTTGCCTCAAATGCTTTCAGATGGAATAGGCACAGGTTCCCAGATTTCCGGTGACATCTATTCATCACCTGGGAACAATGCTTCCCCACCATTCCAGAGTGTCCTGGAATATCACTCAACTGCTGACTCTCCTCCTATATCAACCAGTGCCTTTTCCAGGACCCCCTCCAAAGTCCTGCGAACTTCTCAGCGCCCCAAGAAATGGACAGGTGCAGCCACTAATGCAAGTAGTTTGTTTCCTGGTACCCAGAAAACAGGTATGACTGCTTTTGTGGCCAAAGCATCTTCAAGCTCAACACAGATACCCAGCTTTGCTTTGAAACAGCCTGCCCACCCCGCCCCCTTTCAGTAGTGAGGTACCAGCTCCAGGCAGGCATGTCTCTGATCCTCTCTGCCCACTTGATTTCTTGAAAGTATTCAGAATGTATGCCCTTGTTCCCAAGAACCTTGGCTTTGCTGTAAGTGGTATTCTCATTATGGTTAATTGACTTAATGATCCCAAGGTTGTTTTGCCTGAGTTCTCCCCATCGCAAGCCTGGAGTGCAGAGATTTCTCATGCTAGCAAGCTCACAAGTGCCATTCATTCATCATCAGGACGAGTAATGTGTGTATTCTGGGCCAATGACAAAATTTTCCTTTTCTTTCTTTGCAGTGGACGCCTCAGTGTCATCCAAAATAGAACCAACAGCAGCAACAGCAGCAGCCACCACATTGTTGCTGAGGAAGTCAAGTCCGGCAGCACTGTCTGCAGCCCTCACTGCAAAGGGCACTGGCAGCAGCGGCTTAGTCAAGAGCAGCTCAACCACTGCTTTAGCTAGAAATATCACCAACAAGGCAGCAGTGGGCCCAAAGGTGATAGGGGGGGCAGTCCACACAGCCTACCCATTCACACCAACCTACGTGCTTACCCGAACAGCCCACACCATGAGTACACACACAGCCATGCAAGGAACCACAGGCTCTGCCTCAGGCCTGTTGTCTACAACACACCTCCCCAGGAAACCACAAGCCATGCACACTGGTCTCCCCAACCCCACCAAATCAGAGATGCCCAGAGCATCCACGCCCCGCCCACTGACAGTCACAGCAGCGCTGACATCAATTACAGCATCAGTAAAGGCTACGCGGCTGCCACCTTTGCAGACAGGAAACACAGATGCGGCTCTTCCTGCTGTGTCCACTGCAATAGTCACAACTGGCAAAATGGCATCCAGTTTGGACTGTCAGATGTCCCCCAAGCTCCTTGTGAAGACAGGTGAGAGGCCACTGTATCTCTGGTGTAAGGTGAAAGCAGTCTGACCTCAGAGATGTGTCAGAATTTGTATTTTAGATCAGTACTTATCAATCATGAATGATCTTGTCCTTCCTCCCCCAGGGGACGTTTGACCACACCAGGAGACACTGTTGTCACTCTTAGGGGAGGAAGTGCTACTTGGAATCTAGTACTATATGCACCTGGGATTCTGTTTAACATACTTCAGTGCTCAGAAAGTCCACACAGTAAAGACTAATCCAGGGCTATGACACTGCTCAGTTGGTAAAGTGCTTGCCTTGAAAGCATTAGGGCCTGAGTTTGATCCCTTGGGATCCGTGTTTTTTAAAAAAGCTGGGCATGGTGGCATGCATTTGTGAGCCCAGTGTTGGGGAGGCAGAGATCAGCAGATCTCTGGGGCTCAATGGCCAGTCAGTTATTTTCTACTCAGTGATCTCCAGATAAAAAAATGATAAAAGTGAAAGATTTTTGTCTCAAGAAACAAGGTAGATGACACCTGAGGAATGACACCTGATGTCCTCTGGTTCTACATGCAAGTACACACACACACACACACACACACACACACACACACACAAAAGCATCAGTATGTCAAAGTTGAGAAACCTTGACTTTCATTAAGTGTCAGAGAAGAGGAACATTAGATGACATGGATTCTGGTCTGGCCCCAGGATTGGTCCTGACTTCAGAAGCCCTCTGGGGAAACACGATGATCCCAGGGGATCAGGGAATGCCAGAGCACAGTGTGTTTTGTCTATTAAGTGTACCAGTGATGTCTCACATGAATAAGTGATGTAATTCGTTTAACAAACTCTTGGGAAGTGCTACAGCATTCAGAAAGGTTTTTTTTTTTTTTTTTTTTTTTAGTCAGCAGATACCAAGAGTACAGTTAAAGCACACAAGGAGAGAACCGAGATTTCTTTTGATTTTAAAAGGAAGACTTTCTTGAAGAAGCTGGACAGGTAGCATGGGAGCCATAAGCAAAACAAAGATGCTGTCTTTGCTGCCCCACTCCCCATTGCAGCAATCAAGCCTAAAATGCTCAGAGTGCTTTGAATTGCACAGTAGTGTTTGCTATAAAAAGCATTAGACAAATTATTTGAAAGAGCATGCAAGTGTTGAATGCTCACGTCCCGCCTTCCTCCTCACCCCACAAAGAGTGAAAGGAAATTATATCTTGAGACATATCCTATTCTAAAATGGGAAATTGTGAAATAGGCATAGCAGAAAATACAGTATCTCTGTCGCTCAAGAAATTATACCATCTGGGTTTCCACTCTCCTCCCCCCTTCACCAGATCCACATCGTCTCCCAGCCCCACTTCTTGCAGAAACCACCTCCTGTCTCCTGTCTTTACCTTCTCCCAACCCCAGCCACAGCTAACCAGACACCAGACAGTCAGCTCTCCATCCTGAATGCCCTTCCTCTCTGTCCAGGCTCACTCTGCCACTTCTGTCACCATCCCTCACCTGGATTTATGTAATTCCAGCTGTATTTCTTTATCAGTCTTCAGACCTCTGTCTTTTCCAATCTGTTCACCAGTCTACAGTCAAGGGAATCTTGTAGAATGCATGCCTTTGCTTTAAAAATCCTCATTTCCCGTGGTTCTCAGGATTAAGTGTAAACCTGCACACTGGTAGGATTCACTCCTTTCCCCTGTGCCTTTGCACTTGGCATTCTCCCCACTGGAGTGGGTAGGAACAATCCTTCCCCTTGCCTGGCTGATTGCTGTTACCCTCCAGGACTCGGCTAAAGCAGAAATTCCCATGGAAACCTTCCTTGATCCCAGCCTCTTCTTAGACGCTCTGGCAGAATCCTGGCTTCCCTTTGAATAGTAACTATTGTATTCACTCACAGGTGCCCATTCTCCAACCTGAGTCTCCCTCCCAGTTAGTTACCATCCCGCCTGTAAGGTGGGCCTGTTCCTTCTGCCTTCAGGGTTGTTTTGAGCTGGAATGCTCAGCTCAAGGTACATCTCTAAGGACATTGTCAGTGGATGCTGTTACAGAAATTTAGCTGCATGCTGATCCACTCAGGTCAGGCAGTGCAGAGCCTGATCCTCAAGTTCAGAGGCAGCATGGGTAAGAAATAAAGTACCACCAGCACAGCAGCTCTTTGACCACTGGGACCACACAAATGGTTTGGGCCTTCTCACTTTGAACTTCAGCAAGACTGACAGTCACTACCCCAGTCTATTTCCTTGTTGAACCTTTGCCTCTTCAGCTGTGCTCTGAATTTGATGAACATAGTAGCTTCTGGGGAAAGGGAAACTTGTTCATTATGGGGTTCTTGACTCTATTGTGCTTTTGTTTCACCCCACAGTTCTCTTTATAAGCCAGAGGAGAGTGCAGAGCACTGAGTTCTTGAAGCTCAGTGTAGCCAAAGGGCTCACACAGGCACTGCGGAAGGCTTTCCACCAGAACGATGTCTCTGCTCACGTAAGCTCCTTGCTTTGTAATCAGGCTAGCCCAGATGCTTCTTCCTTTTGGGTCCAGAATATGTGTAGATATTGCCTCCTTTCCAAGTGCTATATCCACACTTGCTGGAAGTAGAACCTTTTGTCATTTTGGCAGATAGCTGACACATTGTAGCTAGAGAACAAGTTCACATTTTGAGATGAAAAATTGGAAACTAATTGTCTCATGTTGGGTTTTTGCTTTGTTTTGTTTGTTTCTTTGGTTTTTGTTTGCTTTGAGGCAGGGTCTCTCTGTAGCCCCAGCTAGCCTGGAACTCCACATGTAGACCAAGCTGACCTTGATCACACAGAGATCAGCCTACCTCTGCCTCCCAAGTGCTGGGATTAAAGATGTGAACCACCACACCCCGAAATGGTTTTGTTGTTGTTTTTAAAAAAAAGACTAGATGTACTGTCTTAAATAATCCTATTGTTCCATCAGTTGAGGAAAGTATTTAGTATTGTCTATGGAATCATCTAGAAGCCATCTGTTGCTTTTTTTCCTCGTAAATAGTGATTTATCTCTGGACATTTAAATGCTATTCTCAAATCAGGTGAAGTGTTACATGCTTATAATTCCAGCACCTGAGGCAGGAGGATTGTCACAAGTTCAAGGCCAGCCTGGGGTACATAGTAAGAATCTGTCTCAAACAAAAAACAAATACAAAAACCAATAACAGGGGCTAGAGAGATGGCTCAGAGGTTAAGAACACTGGTTCTTCTTGCAGAAGACCCAGGTTCAAATCCCAGCATCCACTTGGCAGCTAACAACTGTCCATAACTCCAGTTCCAGGGGATCCAACAGCCTCTTCTGTCTTCCTCGGGCATTGCACAACATGGGTGCACTTACACAGACAATACACGCATA